GTACCGGGGATTGAACTTGGGTCCTTGCGCTTGAGAGGCAGGCCACTGATCCGCTGAGCTAAATCCCCGGCCCTCTGTTTAATTTCTTGTCTTGCCTGAAGGATTCATTCTGTTGGGATTCGTGAAGTTGTAATATTTGTTATCTCTTTCTAGAATATCCTCCAGAGCACTTTGGAGTGCTGGTTTGGTGGTCATGTATTTCCTCAGGTGTTGTCACGCAAGTATCTCATTTGTCCATCAGTTTTTAAGGATAATTTTGAAGGGTACATCATTCTGGGTCAGAAGTTGTTTTCCTTTAGGGCTTGAAATACTTCCCTCCAAACTCTCCTTGACTAGAATGTTTGTGTTGAGAAGTCTGCCGTGACTCTGATGGGTTTCCTTTATAGATGATTTGTTTTTTCTAACAGCTTTTAATATTTTGTTTTTGTGTTCAATTTCTGGAATCTTGACTATTATATACTTTGAGAAAGATTTTTTTGATCATGGCTAATTGGAGTTCTATATGCCTCATTATCTGTATGTCAAATTATTTTTTTATGCATTGGAAGTTTCCTGCCATTCCTTCTGTGAATAGTTTTTTGTGTCATTTGTGCTGTCTCCTGCTTTTTTCATTGACTCTGATCAATCTTACATTATTCTCTTTTGCATCATCCAGCAGCTGTTGAGTTGAGTTGATTTTCATGGTCCCTTGCTACTTTTTTTTTTTTTTGGTTTTTTGAGACAGGGTCTCACTGTAGTTGAGCTGTCTGGAACTCTCTATGTAGCCCAGGCTGGTCTCGAACTGACAGCAATCCTCCTGCCTCAGCCTCCTGAGTGCTGGGATTATAGGTGTGCGCCACCACATCCGGCTCCCTTGCTACTTTTAAGAACTCTTCCTTTTCATGATTGTTAACTACAATCCTGTCTTCTATATCTGATATTGTATCCTCACACTGGTTTATTTTGCTCTGCATACTTTCGTGGAAGTTTTAATCTCCTGGATATCTATTTGAATCTATTTTATGGACCCCATTTCTTTCCTCTGCTGGGCATTCATAGTTTCCATCATTTTCCTAAACTACTCTATTAAAAAAAAATCTGTATCTGCTTTAGAGTCACTATGTCTTTCATTCTGGTCACCATCTCTGTTGTTATCTGAGAAATTATTTCTGCTTTGAATTTTTCTAGAGCCTCATTCACCTGTTTTGTTACTCCTGCTGATGTCACTTCAGAGAGTCCAGGTGGGTGGCACTCGAATTGTTCCACTTCATCACCCCTGGGGTTTGCCTTTGGTGAGCTGACAGTTGGGACGGGGGTTGCATCTTGCTTGTCTTCTCATTTTCTATTTTTTTAAAGTTTAATTTCTGGGTTGATACTTATAGATTGCTTATGGCAAATAGCTTTATTCCTAGTATTCAGAACCCTTAAGAAATGACTACTTCTCAGAGGTGTCTTCCCAGTGTAGCTAGCTTTTGGGTTTTGAGTTTTTTGCAAGATCCTATTTCTTCAATGTATTGGGGGTGAGAAGTTTCTGCCTACTTGGCCCAGTGCCTGGTTCTTTGGCACTGGTCTGTTTTTTTAAGACCCTTAGGCAATCTCAGTTTGCAGTATACCAGGAAGAACAAATGATTAGCACAATTATGTGACGTTGGCTAAAGTAGTACAACCAGCAATAACAGTAGCATCAAACACAGCCTAGAAAATGACAAACTGTGGTAACTATTAATTTGCCACTTTTACCCATCTGATCTAGATTTGTGGCTATATAAAAAAATCCAGAATGAGCCAGAAAATTATATGCAATAAATAAGTTCTCAAATGGTGATTTTGCCCTAAGGGGAGATTTAGGGAAAAACATAGAGAAAAAGAGGAGTTTAGAAGCAAGGCTGGCGCACATAGGAAGGTCATACAAACTTTGGGAAACTAGTGAAGAGGACAGGAGGGAAAGAGAGAAGGAAAAAATAAAAGCAAGAACAGAATAACCACAACAAAAAACTAGAAACCACGTTCACACTCATGTCAAAACAAGAACAAACGTTTAAGAAAAAATAAAACAAGAACAATGACCAGGAAAGAGGAAAAGAAAAGAAAAAAGGGAAAAAAGAAAAGAAGTCCAGTTGAAGGTGTGTGTCTCTACTGTCACTGGGTAGACAATATGGGCAGACGGAGTCCAGATCCAAGTTGATTAATCCCAGTAAGCCAGCGACTGACTCATGGTGGGGCTGTAGATATTCCCTGTAAGCCTGGATCTATAATTCCACTGAGGTTCAGGCTGGTTTCTGGCTGTGAGGCAGGAACCTGATTTGTTAAGCCTGCCACAGGCCATGTGCCTCCTGCCGGCTTGAACTCCACTCCCTGACTTCATGCTGATTTGAACTCTGCACTTGCACAGAGACACCAGGAGCCACTAGATGGAGTCAGCTGTTTTTTTCTAGGTTCTGAGCTAAAATGGCCCCTCTCCAAGATGGCTACCAGTCAATCGCTCTGTCCCGGATGACATCTGAACCCGAACTGCACCAGCCACTGCAGTCTGTCGCATCCACTGCTCTGTTCCACTGGTGCCTCTCTCCATGGAGGCCTCTGGGGCACCAGTAGTCACTGGGCATTTGAAGTTAGACCCGCTGTTCCCGGGCTGTGCATCCGGACTCTGGGACAAAGCACTGCCTGCCACCTCCCTCTTCACTGAAGTCTCTCTCTTGCCTCCCCATGGACTTCAGTTCTCGCTTCGGATCCTTCCTGGGTCCCTGGAACCACTTCTCTGCTTCTTCTTCTTACACCACTGTGTTCCAATGTTGGGACACCAGATCCCAGAGAGGTCCTTTCTCTGCGGCTCACCACTCCACCCTCTTCCTGGAAGTCCTCTTGAACCTGAAGCAGGAGTCCTTGGAGAAGCGACCCCTCTAGACATAACACAAAAGAATGAGTTAACGGAAAGTCCTAGCCAATGAAAGGGGTTACTAAAGGAAAAGGAAACAACATCTTTCAAAGTTGAAGGGAAAAAAAGACAGAACCCCTGACCTGTCACTCCAGATTCTATAACCAGTGGAGATAGCCTTAAGAATAAGGTAAAATAAAATTTGAGGGACTGTGCCTGTGTGCACGCACGCGTGTGTGTAATACTGGAGATTGAGCCCAGGCTTTGCACGCTTGAGACTGTTGATCCCACCACTGAAAACAAAAACGGCAAGGAAATGGTAAATATGTGGGTGAATAAAAAGGTCTACTTTTCACTTTATTTTATTACATTAGGTATGGGGTTACGTCATAGATGTAACACATAAACACGATGGTACGCTGGGGGACAGAGAAATAGGGTTGCATGTGCTGAGCTTTCTACATTTCTAGCAAAGCCGAACAGCTTCCGTTCCATACCGACAGTGAAGATTTAAGAATGAATAATATCTAGAGCAGTCACTAAGAAAATAGTGGAGAGAGTAAAAGCCAACAGAAAAAGATTAAATTGAAAAATAAAAGAGAGATGGTAGGAAAGAAGAGAGCAGACTGTGTAGAAGTGAGCAGGGATGTAAGGAAGGAGGGAGAATAAAAATGATTGAGCTGCAGTCTGGACGGTGGTTCAAGTTCCGCATGAGGAATTTAATTATGTATCACAAAACATATACAAAGAAAGAAAAAGATCCCCGGCGTGGTGGTGCAGGCCTGTGATTCCAGCACTCAAGAAGCGGAGGCAGGAGGATCGCCAGGAGTTCGAGGCCAGCCTGGACTACATGATGAGTTCAAGGCCAGCCATGCCAAGACTCTGTCTCAAAACAACAGCAACAACAAAGAAAAAATAAAATGGAATTCTTGAAAAAAATGAGGCAGAAACGGAAAAACAGAGGAAGAAAGAACAGAAACAAAACCAGTAATGCACAGGAACAACAGAAGGGGACTCCCTGCTCGTCACACCTTCCCTACTCCGGAACGTCCTCAGTCGTGACCGCGTCCCAGATCTGCCTCTGATGTCACCCTTGTCCCTTCTTATGGATGCAAACTTCTTAAGGCTGCCGGTACACGTCGTCTGGCTGTGGAATGAAGAAACAGTCAGTAGCAGGTACCCTCTCCACAGGCCCTAATGCATCACTAGTTGAATGAGAGCCACCGTGCCGGTTCACCCGCGCGCGCACGGTCCTCGGTGTGACAGGCGCCTTTCCCTGCTGCCCATCACAGGCACCTACAGCTGGAGTGACGTGGCCTCCCCCAGGGCAGGAGCTGACTGTGGCAGGCACACAGTGCAGTCTGTGCGATGTGCAGTTGTGGCCGCACAGGGATGGTTCCCTAACGCACACCCCGCACACGGTGGCAGAGTGCTTTCTAGGAGAACACTGGAATAAAGAATGCGGAGCCGGGCTGAGCCTCAGACAGTCTCATTCCTTTATTTTTATTAAAACATTTTTTTGTTTTGTTTTTGCTTTTTGAGACAGGGTCTCACTATGTAGTTGAGACTGACCTGGAACTCACTATGTAGCCCAGGCTGGTCTTGAACTCACAGGGATCCTCCTGCCTCAGCCTCTCAAGTGCTGGGGTTACAGGAGTCATTCCTTTATTTTTAAAATGAACTGGCTTTTAATTAAATAAATACCTCTTCACTACGTAAAATTTGAGGAGTGCTGGGGACTGAACCCAGGAGCTTGGGCATGCTAAATGTGCTCTGAGACTGAGCTACACCCCCAGCCCCGAGGAATTTGGGTCTTGCTATGTAGTCCAGGCTGGTCTTGAACTCATGGTGATCCTCTTGCCTCAGCCTCCCAAATGCTGAGATTATACATGTGCCACCAGGCCTGGCTCCAAAGGAAATCTTTTAGGGTAGAAAAACAATATCACTTTTTCTACAACTCACACACGAACATTAATATTAGAGAATGTTCCCTCCCTCCTTCCTCCCTCCTTTCCTTCATATGTGTGGTATGTGTGGTACTGGGACTGAATCCAAGGCCTTACCTCTGAGCTACACCCCAAACCCTTTTCTATTTTGAGACAGGGTCTTGCTAAGTTGCCCAGGCCAGGTTCCAACTTTTTTCGTTTTTATTTTTGTTTTTTGTGTTTTGAGACAGGGTCTCACTATGTAGTTGAGACTGACCTAGAACTCACTATGTAGCCCAGACTGGTCTCGAACTCACAGCGATCCTCCTGCCTCAGCCTCCTGAGTGCTGGGATTACAGGCGTGCGCCACCATGCCCGGTTTGGATTCCAACTTTTGATCCTCCTGCCTCAGCCTCACTGGGATTACGAGCATGCGCCACTGTGCCTGGCAAGATTTTTTCTCTTTCATATAGTTCATTCTGAAATGTCATAGCCTGTTCTGTCCTGACTTTGGGACATGTACTATAGCCCATCTCAGTATGATATTTTCCTAAGCATCCTTTCTAATGAGTGGGTAGCGTTTCATGGCACATTTGCCTCAGAGATGGTGAATAGTACTAAAAGCTGCCCTCTACTGCACAGGCCAGAGATGGGGAAGAGACAAATAGTAACTCATGGCCCCCACCATTAAAGTGCACCCCGGACACGGACATGTACTAAGTGCTTTACATATACCCTACAGGAAGTGGGTTCTATTTTTATCCTGTTTCCAAAAACTGGACAGCGCTCTGCTGGGAAGTGTGCTGATTCATAGCATTTGCTAGTTTAGTTGCTTTTGTGTGAATTCTCCCTCCACGCTGGATCTCAAGCTGTCACTGAATGCAGAGTTAGGAAAGGAAGCACAGTAACTCAGCATGGTATATTTTTCCACTGTACAGATGTAAATGACATTAATAATCTCAAGCTGAGCCTGGTGGCGCATGCCTGTGATCCCAGCACTCAGGAGGCTGAGGCAGGAGGATCACTGAGAGTTCGAGGCCAGCCCAGGCTACACAGTGAGACTGTCTCAAAAAACAAACAAACACAAACTCAAGAGCTCAGAAAATAGTAAACGTAATAACATAATGAACGTTTTAGGTTTTTATAAATTTTTGATTATGGCAGTGCTTAGTAATTCCTTGGAAAATGCTTGAAATTTTGACAACTGACTCTTGCCACCCACCGCTGAAAAGAAAGGTAAGTCACTTGCCCGCAGTTGGACTTCGGATGTCATCCCCCGCTCCCGGGCCGGCCCCTGTGTTATCAGACGCGAATAGATGCCGCGCTTGTGTATGGACTCGCAGGGCCACAGAGCGGCAGGGTCGGTGCGGAGCAGTGGCGCGGCGAGCATGCGCACGAGCCCCTTTGGGAGACAGACTGTTGTGAAGGGAAGGTGACACTTAGGCCCTGATCAGCAGCGGCTGCTGACATCACAGGAAGAGACTGACATCGGGCGCCTCCTGGTGGCACGGTTACATCAAAAGACAAAACTCAAATGCTCTGAATTGGATTGAAGTTATTATCTTCTAATACCACTTCAGAGAGAATCAAAGCCAGGCATGTGCCAGCACTCAGGATTGCTATGAGTTCGAGGCCAGCCTGGGCTACATAGTGAGTTCAAGCTCAGCGTGAGCTACACAGTGAGACCTGCAGAGAGAGAGGGAGAGAGAGAGAGAGAGAGAGAGAGAGGGAGGGAGAGAGAATCAGAAGCCAGATCAATGTGTCAAACTACCATCAGGGCGGGACTGAGTCAAAATTCAGATGTGGGGAACACTACAGGCAAATTATTCATTCTCTTCTACAAGTAAAATCAAGTGGGTGCATGCCTGTAATTCCAGCCCTTGGGAGGTGGAGGCAGGAGGACTGTGAGTTCACTGCCAGTCTGGGCTACACAGCACACCCTTACAGAAAATCAAATGAAAAAAATGAAGGAAAAAGTATGTACTTAGAATCAGGGATTTAGTTCAGTGGCGCTGTGCCTGCTTCACAAGTGGGAGACAGAGGGACAGAAACAGAGAGAGACAGAGGGGGGCGGAGAGACAGATTAGAGAGACACGGAGAGAGAGACATCGATCCACAGGTTAGGAGCCCAATCCTGTTTCCTCATTTGTAAAATGGACTCAAGCACAAGTGAAAACTGGGCGAGAGGGCACCAGGAACTTGGAAAGTGCTCCCGGGGCGGGGGTTGTAGTCAGCCCTGGGTTCGAGTTCCAACTGCCACCTGCCCTCGCCGAGCCTCAGTTTGCCCGTCCGCGAAGTGGGGACCCCCACAGACAGCGCACCTCAGCCAGGCAGGATAGGCAGGATAGGTCCGGGCGGGTGGAAAGGGTCCCACCCGGCCTGGGCGGGGCCTAGGACGCCGAGCCCACTCGTCCCAGCTCACGCCCTCTGAATCCGTTTTCCTTCTAGGTTCCCCGCCCCTTCTCCACCTCCTCCAGGGCTGTCACCTGGGCGCCCACGGAGCCCAGCGGGAGGCGTGGGTGCAGAGAGCAGGGGTGGGGGGCGGG